TGTCAACTATTTTTAAACTCTATATATTTCTTTTATTTATTACTTTTTTATCATTTTAACAAAACATAATTATTTTTTACCATTTTATACTCATCATTGACTGAGCAGAAAATGAAAGGCATAAACACAATCTTCGAATGCAATTTATGTGTAAAATTCAGTCTCTTGTTATTTGTTGTTGAAATTACTTTATTACCTCTTCCGTCTAATTTCATTTGTCGACTATTTTTAACTATATTTTTTTTAATTTATTACTTTTATCCTATCAAGAAAAAATAATTATTTTTTCATTTTATACTTATCATTGAGTGAGCAGAGAATGAAAGGCATAAAACGCATCCATCGAATATGATTTATGTGTAAAACTGTGTCTCCACGAATTTATTGTTGAAATTACTTTATTATCCCTTCCGTTTAATTTTATTTTATGGTTATTTTTAAACTTTATATATTTCTTTTTATTTATTACTTTTATGGTATCAAGAAAAGATAAAAAAAAAATCATTTTATACTTATCATTGACTGAGCAAATAATTGTTATTTCCCTAGAATGGTATATGATATGAAGTAGAGGTAGGGTGCGTGGAATAATTACTCAGATAAGTTCTTAAGGTATTCGTGGGGAGTAGTTGGAACGTTTGTCGTTGTATTCGTGTACTCTTCTAGGCGTAGAATGGTTAGGCTATGATCAAGAACCTAAGGAGTGGGTTGAATGAAGAGGTTGTTATTAGTAAGGGGTACTAATGTAATTTCTAAGGTATTCAAGTGAGGTAAAGGTGGAGAAGCGAGTGATTTATGACATATTCTTACTAGTTGATTTCTTGTGTTATGTAGAAGGCGGGGGGATTGACCAATAATGTCTATCAATACGTGTGATTTACACTAATACTACTTTTGCTATGCCTTTGGACATAGATTGGATGCAGGATCGGTGATATTTCATTTGGTAAAGACGAAGAATCTCCAGCATCTTCTATTTTTCATTAAGTGAATTACCTTCATTAACACCTTTTGTAAGTTGCTTATAATTAACAGCTTGTTGAATGAAATTCATTATGATTTGTTACTGGGTAAATCGAAAATCGAAAATCGATAAAAAAAATATCTTGATTTGTTATTGAATGAACATATTTAAAAATTGAAAATCGATAAATCGAACTGAACCTACCGATGCACAGCCCCAATTTCAATAAGCAAAACAATAGTCTCTTTTTATTTGTTGTTCAAAATTACTTTATTACCCCTCCCGTTGAAATTTAAATGTCGGCTATTTTTGAAATATAATTATTTCTTTTATCTTTTACTTTTATTATATCATGAAAAGATAATATTTTTTCTTAATTTTACACAACATAAAATACATAATTTAGACTAAATTCTTTGATTAACTAAGATGTCCCATCAAATGGGAAACACCTTATGTATAAATAAAAAAGAAATAGCTTTAGTCCAATGTGCAAATGCTAATTGCTGTCCAAATAGCTTGATTTGGTTTTATTATCCTTCATAAATTTATCTTTAGTTTTATGTCCTTTTTTTAACAAGAAATCTTCATTTTTCCTTTACAAATTCAATTTATAAAAAAACATTTGTCAATTCAGTATAAACTTTATAATACAGAAATTCATTAACTTTTATAATGCATGTGAATAGAAAAGCATAGAGACCAAGAATATCAAAATTTAATGAAGCAAAGAGGATCCTTCATTACAATTTACGATCCCTAGATATAGACGATATAATAAAACTCAAGTTTAACTGTAACGTAAACCTGATATTAAATTTTCATGTGTTTATCGGTACTCTTAGAACAGTGATTGTAAGATTCACGAACAAAAATGAAACAAGGATTAAAAAAAGGCGCTAACAGGACGGCAACTACTTCAGTCCAAGCCTCAAAAGGCTCATCATGCTGTAGAAGGCTCAACATTTAGATGAGGAGCTTCTCAATGGCATCCTGAATAAGAAGAGAAACAACGATTTGAGTATTTACGCAAGGGGAAGTGGTTGTTGATGTGACAAAGACGAAAAAGATTTGGGATGTTACCTTTAGTTGCTGTATTTGAGATTTCAACTGGCTTCCCTCATTGCTCGTCACTGAACAAGCTATCACAGGACGGGTAACACCACATGCTCGGCCAAGAGCTTGTTTTGAAGGGACAAAGACATACGGCACATTCTGAAAGTGTTGATAAAACGAAGAAGTTAGAATCAAAACTCCCTTGTTATGTCAATTCAAGAAGTCCATCTCTTGGTTTATGGTGCGAATGCAACAATTTAACTTAACAAGAATCTTAATATAATCACCACCAAACAAAAGACGACACAGTAGTCCAGAACAATGTTGGTGATGGAAAAGTGTACCAAAAGTTGAAAGACATGAATAATTCTCATATAGTTGTTCAAGGAAGACAATTCTAGGTATAACTATAACTAAAAAACAATAAAAGCCATAAAGTGACAAATAAATAACTTTGAGTAAAAGAGGTCAGTTTATCCCTTATACTGATAATGGCATCCCTTGCAACTGTATAGTTTTAACAAGATATAGATGTTCTATTCTCAAGTAGAGATCTCCCATCAGAGCCCTAGGTAGGGAAATATCCTAGTAGGTAGCACTATCCCCTTTAATCGGGATTCCACTGCAGGTACCGGACACAAGTTCCAAAGGAAAGTATTTTTCCTTTTTAGCTTCCAAAGCATTCCCCATGCATAAGTAAAGTACATTAGCTTGTATATGTTATCCATTTCTTTTGTTTATTCGCAGAGTAACAATGCCATAAAACTTGCCCCCATGGATTTGGTTCAGCCGGAAAGTACTCACATGGGTTGTATGCATTGTGCTAGGTGAACATCAAAGTTCAAATCACAATTAGTTACCTCATTATACTGAAAACTAGTCTCTTTCTGTTGATCTTACTTTAAAGAACACCTAAAAACTTTAAATTTTATATGCAGGAAACAGAAGTCTGATAAACTGCAGCATCTACCTAATCTTTGAGTCAGAACCAAGAAACATGACTATCGAAAACTGGTAGCATTTGACACCATGCAACGGAATCGATAGAAAATGCCAAGACATTGGAAGACTATGCTTGGTCAGGCTTGGTCTTGTTGGTTTAGTTGTGTTTTCAAGCGAAGCAGAAATATTACAAGCTAAATCATAGAAATAAAGCAGGAAGCAGCTATAGGACTCTAGTTTAATACAAACTCCTCAAAATGACGAGTTTATAACGGGTGATGTGCATAACAAACACATGATTCCATTTTCCATAAGAGTCTGAAATCAGAACAATATAACCTCATAATACAGACAAAAGAGTAAAAAAACACAACCCTTGAAAATGTCAATAACCAGAGTCCCTTAGTATTCATTACCTCTATTGGAGCCACAACACCAAAAAAGAGTAAAGAAGAAAACTTTACGAGGAAAAGAGCAAAAGGCAAAATGTAAATCACCTTATCTTCGGCAAGGAGCGGAAGGTGAAGAAGGATTTCAAGAGGCTCAGTATCTGCAGCCATGACAACGAATTCCGAAATTCCTCTGTTTAGTGTCTTTGTAGCTGAAACAGAAGAACAACACAGTTTTCTCTTTCAGTTAAGCAGTACAATGAGGAGCAACACATTACCAATTCATAAAGCAGGAAAAATCAAATCTTTATGCCTAATTTTTTTTATAGTAGGTGAAATGAAACCAAACCAACTTTGTCCATTTTAGTTAAACGCTCATAACATAAAAGTAACTTCTTCACCAAAACACCATATAATAAAGCTCCAAAACAATACAAGTAACAATCTTTCTGGCTTATTACCCACCACCACAAAACTAAAGTTAAAGACTAAATATGAAGTGTAAAAAAGTGAATAACCTTCATTAGCACCCTTTTTAAGCTGCTTATAATTAGCAGCTTGTTGAACCAAATCCATTATGGTCGTTGTAAGCTGTGAATCAGCAAGAGGATATGCTTTTGGGTTCACAGTTTCTGTTGCCTACAATTACAGAAAACAAAACTATCAGAATTAACTGTGTATTAGAACAGAAAAATCAAACAAAAAGATGAAGAATTTCAATAAACTAAGCAAATGTATCAACTTCGAAAGCAAAATTATTAGAGATAGAGAAATCACCATGGCAGCTGCTGATTGAGAGAACTGTGGAGGAGGAAGAGGAGTTTAGGGTTTAGGTGAAGATATTAGGGTTTAAAGGAAAAAAATTGACTATAAATTAGAAAATATCCCTATTTTTTTATTTGTTCACATATATTTATTTTATAGTTTTTCTTTTCAAATGTTTTTTTTAAAAAAAGAAGTTATTTAGGGAAAAATTACCAAAAACGATTATGGTGAAGTGATAAGTATTCCTTCTTCTTTAATCAAAACATCTCGAGTTCGACCCATTTTGAGTACAGAGTCGTCCAATGTATCCAGTGGCAAAGCCACCTTAACATTAGGGGGTTCCGAATTTCCTTTTGCAGAAAATTATATTGTATTTTATATGGTTAAATTTTTTTTTTTATGTACATATAGTAAATTTCGTATGTCTATTTCTTCAAATTTTAAACTTCTTTACCGAAAATTCTGACTCCGCCACTGAATGTGCGTACCAAATAGCGGACTAAAAAAAGGATAATATCAAACTTATTAGGTTATTCCTTTATAATCTTTTATCTAGTGTCAAAGAACTATATATTTTAGCATTTATATTACTTTTTTGTTGTGCATGACATTCATGGATAAATAATGAGTAATCGTAAATAACTATTATTCTTTAGTGGCAAAGCTATGATGTTGAAATTATTGATGACCACGTGTGTAGTGAAAAAGAAAAATCTTTTATTGGTTGAAAAAAATTGCATGTACATTTTGTGATTTTTGTTAAAATTAGACATTTGTTAAGATCACCAGTGAAAGTGTACCAATTTGGCAAAAAAATTAAAAGGACAATTAGTGCTCCAGTTAAGCATTCTGGTAAAAAGAAACAGCTGAGTGAATGCTTCTTCTATGAGGAAAATTGTGTAAATTAACACCAACAGAGTTGAAATTGTGCAAAAGCCTTTGTGAGGAATGCATTTGAGAATACAATAAATATTTCCAAAGCCAAAAAACAACAGCTTTTAACACTCACTGATAAGCGTAAACACGAGAACAAAATGCAAGACGAATGATTGGGAGAGAAGGGAAGAGAGGGGGAGGGAGTTTGCAGATGCCTACCACTGAATTGACGAGACATTTACATCACAACACCAAGAAATACAAAGAATTAGACTGGACCAACCAAAATCTCTTTTCCGCTTTGACAGATTTAGACTGATTTAACGCGTAGTTTGTTGGCTACGTAGAGGAGGTGACTGATATTTGTGGATGGATAATTTTGGAGTAGCTTCAAATTAGAAGTGAAATCCCCAGCAAGTAGACGCCTCCGAACAATAATTAACATAGCACAGCAGACTCGAAGCAGCGTTTCCTGCAAGTTAAAGAAAAATTTGAGTATTCCGACTTTTCTTTTTAATAACTGAGAAATCCCTGGTGGTGCAGTTCTAAACTCGCAGCCTCAGGGTTGCATAACCTCCTCCCTATTCCTTTCTCTCTTCACTTCAACGCAAACCACCCCAAAAACACTCTGTCGACCTGACCACACTGAACCCACGAAACATAACCTTGTAAATGTTCAAGATGCTATAAAGTATTGGTTTTGTACTTCTGTCCGACACTCGTAAGTTCTTTTAGTTCAAATCATGATGGCAAATTACATACAGCAGATATGAAAGTCCCATGATTGTGGAATCGCCAGCTTTACAAATGCAATGACAGGTAGATTCCATGCAAGTTGAAGCCTTTTGGTTGAAAATTTAAATTCCCCTTAACTGCCCCCAAAAACACTCCCAACCGCACTGCTGCATGACCATCTCTTTGTGTTTTGAGTCTGACAACTGAGACATACCATCAAATCCGGGATTTTCAAATTCCTCTCTTCTCCGATAACATGTCCATACATCACAAGGGAAATAAACCAAAAAATATACTAGCAGACAACAATAACTCCACCTCTATCCCAAACTAGGTGAAGTCAGCAGTAGGAATCCTTCTTTTAAATAAAATAAAGGCTGGCTGTAAGAATCCTCAATATCCAACTCCGCTTGGTTTGACCAGTTTCATTCCAACCACTAAATAATTCGTCTTTTAAGAAGATATGGGGTTCTCAAACACCGAAAATAATCAAACTCAGCAAGAAGACCTAAGGTAAGGGTAGCAACATGACTAAGCCTCAATCTTAGTCCCAACTAATTGAAAGGAAGATAATTGAAGAAGCAAATAGTTCATGCAAAAAAAGTTCTTATCCATGCTAATATAGTATAAAAGTGCATTACTTCCAGGATGTCTCACCAGAGGTCCTTCAGGATCACTTAGTAGTGTGTCCCATATAAGCAGGCTGTCCGGGAAGTTGAATTCTTGTGTTAGCAGAAGTGTTATCCATCTGAATGCGTAGAACTGTGGATTCACCTGTTGCACGCAACATCAGGCACATAAAGATCACTAATAACAAAGAACTAACTATGACATCATCAAGTGAAGACAGAAACAAGAGAAGTCAGTTATTTTTATTTATTTTTGAAATTGGTAATATAAAGAAGTCAGTTTTTTCATCACTCATATGCCAGTACAATAGTAAAAGCAATAATTGCCAAAGGAACTACACAAAAACACAGATGTCTTGTCACACGCACAGGCACACAAATATGGGGCATAAAACAGTTGCCTAAAAAGCACAGCCCAATCAGCAATGGCAGAGCCAGAATTTTCACTATGGGGTTCAAAATATGAAGAAGTAAACACAAGAAAAAGCTGAAGGGAGTTCAACATCTACAATATATACATAAAAAATAATTTTAACCATGTACAAACAGTGTAATTTTTTGACGAAGGGGCCCTACTGTCTCCGCCCCTGCCTATCAGGATATATAGATTTAAATTAGACATGCATGCAACATTTAGGCCAGCAAATCCTATTTATAGAGGCAGAAGGTTACCAGTTACTTCAATAGTGAATACATGATGCATCAACAAGACAAACAACAAAGATAAATTTGAATCAATTCTTCTCATGTCAGGTTAGTTTCCCAGAATATCTAAAAGGTGCAAGAAACTTCGATGAAGCAGAATGATTGTTCATTTAAATTTTAAAGGAAACATTTCATAGCGAACAAGGTTAACGCGTTCATGGAAGCATTGAGCTTAAATGTGAGTTCTCCTAAGTATAAGCAGTCATCTTCAATTGAAACTAAGGTGCCGTAAACAAGTAATCTTTAGGTCGACAAGTCCTTAACTTCTGCATCTTCGTTTAATAGTTAACAAATCAAAGTTCAAATTTTAAATTTTAAATGTGAATGTATAACCTGATATTATTACTTTGTAGGCAAGACTTTTTTTTTAAGTAAGAAGTTGTCACTAAAGGCATCGAGAAGATGCAAATCAAAAGAGATCACACTTATTGTTGGCATTGAGGCTTCTAACAATAAGTTAGAATGACATTCATCATCCTCTAAACAATCAAAATGATATATATGTCACTAGGTTGTGTCAACTTGCAGGTTGCATAATTACCAATCAGAGAGGAATAATGCTGACATTTTTAGCCATGGTAACAAATGCAGCTTGCTAAAGTTAAGCATAAAAGAGATCTTACTTTTCTTTTTTGATCAAGGAAAGTATTTCCATTCATAAAAGAGATCTTACTTTGGTTGTCATTTCAAGATGCCGCCAGAGCTCCTCATCATGTTCTTTCAGAAATTGTGATAACTTTGTAATTGTAGAACGAATTCCAACAACACTATTGTCAAGTTGCTGACAAAAATGATCACGAAATCCACTCAATAGCTCCACGAAGCAGAAGAAAGTGTCTGCTTCTGCAGATGCCTGCATAGCTTGCAAATCGAAAATGATAAACAGAGCTGAACTTGTAAACATTGACACTTGAATCCAGAAAAAAGCTGAAAGAATAACTTGTACAGATGTAATCATCATTTATCTCAACATCTGCCCGCCCAACAAGGTGGGAGCAGACAGGCTTACATTAAGGTAGTATTTGTCAGAAAAAGTATGACTTGGGTTTGATACTCATATTTTTATTTCGCTCGAAAAGATGTTCCACAGTGAAGATATCTAAGCTAAATCTTTCAAAACAGTCAAAAACTATATTCACTTTTACTGTTTGAAAAACACACGATTAGTTGGTATAACAAAGTTTAGGCACAAGGCTTTATAGGAAGGTCTATTATCAAGGAAAAAGGCTTCAAAACAAGATCTAATAATGAATAACTGATATCTTGTAACATTAGCCTAGGAAATAGGGCAGGATGCAAGAGTGTGTTTGCACCACTTACACGAAAGAAGATGTTGATAAACAAATTAGAAGTCAATACAAACAACGAAGCATTAGAAACTTATCTGAGAAGGTAAGGAGTAAATAAAGTGTTCTGCTTACCGTCTACATGAGTAAGACTTTGATTAGTTTATTACACAAGGATGGTGTTTCAACTTTTTGAAAGATTTGATAATTTGTTCCCTCTTTTTTCTTTTGTGTGGCAAAACTCAAAAGCAAAAAACAAACACTTCTTCGAGAAATAGAAAAACTGAGTTTCAAACTCAGCTATTCAACTTTTTCAAACCAACCCAACTAAGTGATGTAACCTAAGATCACCAGATTGTCACTCTATGCCTCAACTAGCCTCAACTACTCAACCATCCCCGAGAGACACTAATATGCATAGTTCCATTTTCTTGATGTGGCGAGGGAGGCACATCTTGAAGTATGAAACTATTTAGGTGATGAAAGCTATAACTTTTGCAATCAAATTTTCTTAGGGATTGATCAAGTTAGGGAAGAAATATTGGGATGGTTTTAATCAGGGAAGAATGCAATAATAACATAATAAAGGGAAATGGATCAATATCAAAGTAGTTTTGGCATGTGCTCTCCAACGACATGTGTTAATATAAGTCTCTAAACATACGTTTTGACAATGGAAATAGTGTTACTAGCCAAAGTATTGCTACAGTTAAGCCCTTATGAGGAAGAAAATAGAAGAGAAGCAAACAAAAAGAAAGGAGGACATGTGCATAGAACGGATTGTTGACATCAACAGTGGTAAAGCTGGAGCATAACAGAATTCAGAGCATTGCTCTCAACATATTCAGGAAATCTTTGGTCACAAAGCTGATATGTCTCTAAAGTTATGATCTGCAAAACATAGCTAATGCAAATATAGTCCAGCATCAAGGCATCACTTACTGCATTTTCCTCATTGGGATCGTTCCTGAATACATAGAATAGTGGAGCCAATACTTCATTCATCCCTTGCACGTATCTTATACCAGGATTGAGTTTGGCAAAGATAATGAGTATATTCCTCAGAGAGTCCTGATAACACAAGATATACTATTAGGTGATCAACAGAGATTTGTACTAACTCTCAAGTCAAGAAGGCTAGAATTTACCTGGTTAGATTTTGCAAATGGTGTGTCCCCAGAGAAAAAGTGCAGGTCTGGATGTGTGCGCTTGACATCTCGATCTATCTGTTCAATTATTTCCGTGTCCTAGAAGCAAATCACGTAGAAGAATTTAGTAGTCACTTCAATGTTAAACAACTGTCAGATAATTGGAGGTAGACACCTCATGTTGGAAGATACATTAATGCTAACAGTCATCCGGTGTAATGTACGAATGGTACTTGACAACAGCTTCAAGACAAACAAAAAGCAGAACACGAGTTAACTCCATAAAGCAGAAGATTCTTGCCTTGGATATTCAATAAAGTTACCTAGCGCGGGACAGGAAAAGGAAGGGGGGGGAGCTCTTTTCCTTAAGAGCATGTCAAATATTTATTTTGAGTTTCTGTTGTCTGCCTCTTGGCCACATGTGACGGGGGGGGGGGGGAGGGTTCCCCATCTGGCACTTTTGATTTCTCTCTTGCGGCTTAGGGAGGGGTATTTACTTGTTTATTTAATTAACAAGGAACTTATCTACTCCATCCAACTAGTTCCAGTTTTGCATCCAAGGCAATCCCACTATCAACTCGCAATTCTAATTCTCTATAGAACAAAGAGAAGGATGTTTTCAGAAGCAATTGATCCATTTCCCTCATTTGAGCCCATCACAACCACACTAATAATGAATTGTATAATCAGTGAGAGTTAAAAACCTAGGGAAGAACGTCTACAGGAATAAATAAAACAAGGATGTATAAATTTGATTACACAAACGCAACCATCTGGTGATAACAACAGCCCTCAGTTATGATCTAAAAGGAACTCCATGTAAACATTGCGGTGAAAGATGGAAAAGAACAAGAATAAATATTGTACCTGGAAGAACTGATTCCATATGCTATTCTTCCCAAGACTTAAAGGATGCTCTCCTTGAGGTATCTCTGATCTTGGGAGTGCACCCTTGTCCTCTATAACTGTTCCTTCATCATCAAGTATTACCGACTTCTCCAACTTCCTCGTAATCTCCGACTGCCTAGCCATATTAACATTCAGACACCGAACATTTGAAAACAAGCAATGCTCAAGTTCATGTAATTTGCCACATATATTTTGATAAGTAAATCCACCAGATATATAACACCACTTTTTTAATATAGGTGAGCCTTCACAAAAGAACCAAGAAAGTGCTGAAGATACAATGTACGCTTTAACACCCAAATAGCATACATGATTTTGATCCATGAGAGAGCTTCTATCATGTTTTCCAATTCAACCCCAACTCGCTGAGTCAATTTCACAGTGGAGTTTTTTCTAGTATGGACTACCAAACAATATCATGGGGGCAATTAACACGATCAGTATGATATCTGTACAAGAAAATGATACATAACATTTTCTAGCTAAGCTTATCTGTCTTAACATGTCTATTGCAAGGGTTCAAAGACCCAAAAAAAGAAAACAAAAACACTAAAATAAATCATTCAACAAGATGTCGTTTCAACGGGAACATTAATTTTTATTCAGTTAGTATATGTGGATATTTTCTCTTCTCACATAGGATCTAAAATTTATAAAAGTCAAATAGAGGATGTGTCAACATGGAAGAAATGTCAAATAACTTGCCCTTATTGTTACAGAACCAAAAACTCTGAGAACTTGCAAGAAGTGCAAGCATCAACGGATCATTAACATGACTTTCATCAATAACATCATGCCAAGGATAAACCTTGCAGCCATAGTTTCAGATATACAGAATTATAACAGTTCCAATTAGCAAAGCATCTTCTTTAATACCGACAAATGGTATAACAACATTTCAGGAACTAGTAAAAATAACTTAACGTGTTTGACTGTAATCATTGCATTAGCAACAAGTATTGAACTTACAGGATTCACCAAAAGCTCCTCTTTAAAATGCTTGTATTGAGACCTCTTTTTAACCAACTCTGTTGGCCATAGTGCTTTCTCGGTCGGCAAATATCCCAATAGCAGCTGCACAAAGTACATGCAATTAGGAGGAAACTACACACTGAGACTCATCCAAGGTAAAACCTTTTCTTATCAACAAAACGTTTGGATAAGAAGTTACACCATTGTACAGTCAGACACATTCCACCGAAATGAGCAGAGGAGTATTAAGTCCGGGATATGTGTCAGCGTAAAATAAGTCTCGACAAGCAAATCTTATACCTTCCACACTGTAGCACGAATGCCAGCTCCATCTGGTATCCCTTGTGATGCTAGCCTCCTGACTTCTCCCATGTTTATAATCTTTCTTGACAACTAAATTCAAAAAAATGAAAAGAGAAAAAGCTGATGAATACTCTATTTAACAAGAATGGAGAACCACCATACAATGGAACTTCAATATTCCGAAATGAGCTGCTTATATTAGGATTATAGCCAGTTTGGTTTGATTTTCTTTCTCAAATTTAATTATTACTTCCAAATAAATCAGTTTCATCAATCATAATCAGTGTTCAGTTATCATATGACAAAGAATTACCTTTCCAACTAATATCCACATATGTTTCAAACAAAAACGATTGCTTTTCTTTTTTTCTAAAACAAGTACACCAATAACAACATCTATGCTTCAATCCCAAGCTAATTTGGATTAACTAGATGATATCTCACTATCTATTCTGTTCCACATAACATTGTCTTGCTCAAATGTTCAATAAATTTGGGGACTTTTTAAGCAGTCAAGCAACGAGATAACATTAATTCCAGACAGTATTAAAACGAATTTACATAAAATCACATGCAATTTAGATGCCATAGATAGGTCTAAACCAACAAATAGACACCAAAACATCGAATTAACCTCTTGACAAAGCTGAGCCTGACGAGAAATATCCTCAGCTGACGAAATAGCTGCTGCAGCAGCAGCAGATGCAGACGTCATTGTACTACTAGCGGAACTTCCATTTTCATCATCACTATGATAATTACTACTACTACTCAAAGGATCTCTAATTTCCGCTTTAGCGCGTGGAGGCCCGTGCCTAGTCTCCGCTCTAACCACTGCCGGGGCTGCCGTCATTGAACCAGGCCGTTCGACCGTTAACTCTCCGTCATTAGCCGAACCACCAGCTTTAACGGCGTTAACAGTAACAGTAGATGATTTAGTAGCTGAACGTGTAGACCGGTTGTCATCCTCATTTAACGGCGTCGGCGATGAAGATGGAGATTGAACTGAAGGTTGTGGTCCAGGAGACGACCAGAGTGAGCTGTTGAGCCAATCGGGAACGCGTTTGTTAACCATATCGTAGGGCTTATTTTTTAAAAACAGAATTGATACAACGGCGGAGCATACGGTGGCTGAATAAGTGAATTCGGCAGATACGGTAGGATTGATACGCCGGCGGTGTTGATACTCCGGCGAGGTGTCATTGCAGTGAGAGGAAGAGAAGTCGTGGGAACATCGTAGATGATCAGCGTTTTAGAGAGAGAAAAAGAGGAGAGAGAAAGAGAAAGGAGAAGTTGCCAGGTAGATATGTAGTGGTCACGTGAAAGTCACATGGAAAAATGAACTTTTGCTATTATTGTTTCAAATTTCAATAAGTTCGATTAATTTAAATTCGGAAAAAAACGTAAAAAGTATCTCTCGATTTTAATCTATTAGTTGAATATATTCTTACCACTAAAATAAAGTTATTTTTACCCTCGTTATCTACAAACTTCTCACATGTATCATTCAATTGGATGAAAAATCTCAAATCAACAAACACGATTTTACTTATATTATCTAATTTTAATCAACTCAATCCGCCCACCTAATCATTTAACCTATTCGTCATCATCTTTACCCAAAACCCTCATCATCGGAACCACCAAAAAACCATTTATACCTACCATACTTGACATAGAATAGATCGATCCACTTTTTCTTAATTAAATCGCGTTGTTTGTGTAATGATAACTCTAGTATTGCTTAACTGAATCGATAATAGTTTTTTTTTGGATTATTCATGCACTAAGTGTTTTGACTATTGAGATATATACGTCTTAAAAAATATCACTTTCAAATTGAATAAGCCAGAAAATTAAACGAAATCGATAATAATCAAACCAACAATTATCTTTTCCATTTAGTTTGGTTTTGTTTTAAAAAATTAAAAAAATAATTAGATAGATTTTGATTTTAATCGATGGCCGTTTCAAATCGAATCATAAACGTCATTGTCTGATAATGCAAAGTATATTATTATGAATAATGTAGTATAATACTATGTCTTAATTTACACGATTATTTCTTTTTTGTTTATCTTAAATATCCGATGAGCTTATTTTAGTTCATATTTTGTTTTAGTTTATTGTTTTAAATCTTTAGATAAATTTAACTATAGGTTCCTTTTAATAAATTTAACTATATAAATTTGGATTTCTTATAACTATATATTATGTTTATTTACATCATTTTTTTCTACTCCTAAAAACACAAGCAATTCATTGAAAATAATACTATATAAAAAAAATTAAAAATTAGATATACTATAATTAGCTATTTTCCTCTCAACAATTTTTTTTTTTATACACATAAATCATATAAATTATTTTAAAAAATAGCCTAAAAGAAAGCCACTTTTCTCCAATAGCAGAGATAATGTCAAATAATTCACATAAATCCAATGTTAATGTTTCATATGATATCTTATTCTTCATTCTGGTTAGATTGTACGTTAAATCTTTATTATGTTTTCGATCGATTTCTATTTCGTGGAGTGATATTATCTCTGATAGAGAATTTAAAAAGGCTCACATCAATCAATCCAAAGCGTTAGGACGTATAAATTTCTTATCAATGAGTCATATTAATGAGAATTCAAATTTATAAATTTAGATAGAAATCGAGTAATTTCTATAGAAGAGCAACAAGTTTCTCTAAAAGGATTTGAATACTCTCGTATCGTATGCTCACACGATGACTTAATACTATTATAGAACGATAAAGATAATTATTACAAGACGTTTATTTAATGGAATCCATAAAATATTGTCCAAAAATCATGCACTAGGATAAACAACCAAATTAAATTCCTTTAATTTTGTATTTGTTTTCCTGAATCATAAATAAAATTGTACTTGAAAATTTATCTTTTTGTTTACAATGTTTTATCCATTATATTTATTATGTTATATCATTAAAATAAAAGATTTATAAGTTGTGATATAATGATTGAGAATTCTGTATTTTTAATTAAGAAGCCTGGATTTTGAATTTTACTTTAGTGTTATAATCAGTGTCATTGATCTTTTAAACTAATAACATATTTAGTGTAATTTCATAAGTAGGATCTGCGAAGGATTGGATATTATATGTACTAGCTTGCTTTTGAATTCTAATAAACTCTCGCCTCAAGGAAATATTGAAATGATCAAATAATAAAAGTGAAAGTACGAACAAAATATATATAAAATAATGCAATAATTAAAGTACGAGATAAGATAGATCGTTTCAAGAACAGAAATCAAAAGACAAAGAAATTATATTTTTATGTATTATGATATTGCATTAAGCCAATTTACAATTTTACGAAATGCCAAAAATAAAACAAACTATATGCTTGTTTTTTTCTTTTTTCACTATATAATATAATATATCGACTCTTACTAATTTATGGAAATATATTTATGGAACTAAATTAAAATAATAACTTTAGGTAAAATAAATATATATATACACTATAATTTGCTATTTTTTTTCTATTAAAAGTATCCTTTTTGCTCATAACAAGGAATCTTGAAATTCTATTTTCTACACATAAAAAAATCATATAAATATAATTAAATAGCAAACGTTATGTCAATGGAGAATCCAAACAATCTTTCGCGCGATGTTTTATTCTCTATCTTGGTTAGAGTACCTGTGAAATCTCTGTTACGTTTTCGATGTGTATCAGTATCATGGAACGATATAATCTTCCGTCGAGAATTTAAGAAAGATCATATCGATCAATCCAGAGCGTTGGGACGTGTAAGTTTTTTATTACAAAGGTATATGAGCGATGAATTTAAATTTATTAATTTGAAGAATAATCTAGTAATCGCGATCGAAAATAACAATTTTCCTCTAAAGGGATTTGATTATGCTCACGTCTTATGCTCCCATGATGGTTTGATATTATTACAAAACCATAGCGTTAACAAGACGTTTGGTTTATGGAATCCATCGACTAGACAATGCGTAAAGCTTGAACCATGTCCACATATGCGTATTTCCAATCCTCAAGGTTATGGGTTGTGTATACTGGTATAAGGTGATTGACTATAGTAAAAATTCTGCAGTGATATATTTTGACATGAAATCAGATGAATTCAAGGAGCTTCCAACGCCGAGTTTCGTACGTGATAGTCGTAAGAAGTACTTGTTCCATTTAACTGTTTCGAAAGGTCGTCTCAGCTTCTACAGACTGAAGAAAAAGACCGGGTTGGAATTGAGCATGTGGATCATGGGAGATGATGGATGGAAATTGTTGATGAAAATTGCAGAGGTATTACCAAAATTTTACAAATATACTAAAATTTTGTGTTGCTTAGAGAATGATGAAATTATTTTTCGAGGAACAACGACTCCTCATATTTCCATTTATAACCCTAAACAAGGAAAAATTGTTGTTAAGGAATTTATATTCAATTCTAATACAGGTTTTTCGTATTTATATCCATACCCAACAGGTTTGGATAATTTGTATTTTCCAAAAATCATGCACTAGTTAATTTTTTGTATTTCTTTTCTCTTCTGATCCATAAATAAAGTTGCAAATCTTTTGTTTACTTTGTTTTGTTCATGATTATATTTATTATACAATTAGTGATAAATTACTATTTATCACATTCTATGTTATCATATTTATTGATAAAGAAAAAGGGAAAAATGATAAATATACCCCTAAACTATATGCAGATATCCTCCGTCTTACTTTTTGGACATAAGTACCCCTGCCGTTCAAAAACTAGAGCATGTATACCCTTTATACTAACAGACATACACGTGTGATAATCTTATCCACCGACCTGACATTGAATCGATGGATAAGATTGCGCCACGTGTCCCTGTGCAATGTTTCGTTAGAGTGAAGGGCATATACACTCTAGTTTTTGGACGAAAGGGGCATCAATGTCCCAAAAATTATGACGGGTATCGGGGATTTTTCGTTAAGAAAAATAGTGCAATAAACGAAGTATAAGATACGATAGTACGGGAAATCGAAGGATAAGAAACTATTGATTTACTTCCAATCACATTCATTTTTATGAAAGAAGTAGATATTATTGCATAAGCCAATTCACAACAAAACATAAAGCAAATGACAGACATGACAATACATTTACCAAATGCCAATAAGAATCTATTTTTCCAAATAAGAAACAAGAGAATTGTAACAAACTTGCAAATCACTAAGCACATGATTATCACTACCTCATGTCCAACTCTTGGTTGATCCAACGTCGGATCCTCATGTTATATTGTCCACACTCCAGTTGTCCAGCCTTGAGTGTGCTCGTCGTTGTGAGACCTGGTTATTTGCCAGTGGTTTGGGGCAATCTCGCTTTATTAGCTAGTTATTGGGGTTAAGTTAGGGCTGAGGTCCATTTCTTCACATTATCGGACTGTGCTATTGTCCCGGGCAAGTATGGGGTTTGCTTTGTTACCTGTCCAACTAAACAGGTGACACAGTTCCTGCTTGACAAGGGTACAGAAGACTAGACTCCTTACTGTTATTCAAGTTGCCACACACATTGAGGATGCCAAATGCCACATCCGTTACGACTATTGTCTCTCTTGGATATGTGAATCTTCAGCAGTTGAAGCAACAAGTGACATTCTTAACTTCAGCCCAATCGCAAAAAACTGAGCTTTGTCTATGCTGATGAGGCGATGACCTCTAACTGAAACCATGTACCAGTCACAAGAAAGTAGTCAGATATACTAGCGAAGAAAAATGAGTGATGATTTAGCATAAACCATGTAAATGCCAAAATCCATTTTAATTTCTCTGTTTTGTGATTGTGAGCTTAGCCAACATAGTTTTCTGAAATGACTCACTTAAAAACCGCATTCTAATTCTTATGAAAGAAGCAGATATTGCATAAGCCAATTCACAAAAAAACAGAAAGCAAACAACAGAGACATGCCAATGCATTACCCAATGCCAATAACAATCTATTTTTCCATGCTGTTTTCCACAAAAGAATTATGACAAAACTTGTAAATCATATGGACATGATTCTTTCCAAATAACCTGTAAACAAGCATTATTTAAGATTTTCTTTCTGGAATATGATGACAATTAAGGTGTAGTCTTTCCTCACCAAAAGCCTCTCCAGTAAACAGAAGTAGGCAATCATGCTGACGATGAGGAGAACAAGAAAAGTCTTGTCAAACCCTGTAAGCAGTTTGAACACGTAGAGTAAAATACCGTGTAATTTAAATCAAACACTTAGTGAAGTCTGAACTTCTTACTAGATCTGTAAATTCAGACTTAACAAAGCATGAAAGGCTTAACTGAATGATGTAGACATAAAATTACCTGTGCTAACAGTATGATGTAACATTATGTCTTAGCACATGGTGAGCTGAGGGGACTACACGATAGACACTCCATCTATAATCCATCTGTTTTAAGATTCCATCTTTGATAAGTGTTGGCACTGAACACAAGATATGTATCGGATGCTTGACTCCTGCTATCTAGAAGATGGTGGATTTGTAAGATTTAGAGAAAACGAAGAGTACATCGTGAATAGAGAGAACAGGGCATCTTGAAGACTCAGTGAAATTATAAAAATCTAACAAAACCTTCAAATATATGCCCAACAAATCAGATAAAGCATTTAGAACTGTAATTGGAGAAGAATATTTATGCTTGCCTTTTAACTACACTCATTTTTCACTAGGTTTATCCACTTCCAGCAGATATTATTATGTTAGTACTGACAAATTATGAATAGTACTAGTGGCAAGTCTTTCCAAACTCAAAATCTGTGTGTAGACGAGGACATAAAAGGAGATATGGTAAAAACATCCAGCACCAAATAGAAAAAGATAAAGACAGAAATTTCGAGATGCCAACAATATTTATCAAAAAAGGTTTCAACTGAAAAAGCAGTAAACCGAAATAAATTGGCAACAGTCATAAACAATGGCTTCCAAAAATTGCTAGAAGTCTAGTATGACATATATGAACAGTTACAAGCTGAACTAGCAAATTTTCAGACATTGTAAGACGCGCAACACTTACTAGTTCACCAGTAATCTTTACAGGAACAAACTCCATCTTTGAAATGGTGGAATCTCTTTATATCTCTTAACACAATCACCCTTTGACTCATCCTGCTGACATACTTCATTAGAGAATGGCAGTCCCCACACACTCTAAGGTTCTTCACAATCATAATGATCACACCAGGACCAGTACTAATGAGCCCAAAAGCAAGTGCTAACTTTTCACTATGACTTCCCAATGCTCCCTCCTTCTCTTCCTCATCAATGTTATGAAGCACCCACTCAGTTTCAGGCATGTAACCTTGTTGTTTAGCTCCAGTAATGATTTCCTCCAATTTCAAGTATATTTCCTGCTTACGTGTATGAGCACTATCACCAGCAACAAATGTATGCAATTGACCAGCCACCTCCATTGAGCTCCATCCAGGATCCTTTTCAACATTTTTGTTCTTCATTGAACTTCTAACTCTTTCTACGTCATCCCATCTCCCTGCTCCTGCATAAACATTAGACAGAAACACATAGCCCCCAGCATGCTTTGGCTCAAGCTGTAGGAGCTTCTCGGATGCAACTTTTGCCATTTCAATGTTCTTGTGAGCTCTGCAAGCAGAAAAAAGTGCACCCCAAATAACGTAATCTGGCTCCAAGGGCATACTTGCAATAAATTTCAAGGCCTCATCAAATCGGCCAGCCCTGCCAAGTAGATCTACTACTGCAGCATAATGTTTCATAGTGGGCTCAATTGAGAACTGACGCTGCATGCCATCAAAGATTTGAAGGCCCTGATCCACCCGTCCAGCATGAGAACATCCGGTTAAAACAGCAAGGACAGAAACTCCATCAGGTTTGATTCCTGCAACCATTAGAAAAAAATGTTTTACTTTGAAAAACAATTTCCCATAGAATCCAAGTAATTCCATGGACAAAAGAGTATATCGAAAGTACCAGTCAATCTCATCTGTTCAAAACACCTAAGAGCTTTATCTACATGTCCATGAATTGCCCAACCCCATATCATAATACTCCACGTACGGATATCCTTCTCCTTCAATCCACTAAAAACCAGGCTTGCAGACTCAATATAACCGCATTTTGCATACATATCAAGCAAAGCATTACCAACTGCTGCATTCAAATGGAGCCCATTGTTCACAATATTATCATGAATCTTTTTCCCTGCCTCTAGTGCCCCAGTTTTCGCACAAGCAGAAAGAGCAGATACAACAGTTAAACCATTCGGCTTCACACCTTCTTCCACCATCTTAAAAAACAAATCCAGAGCCTTTTGGTGCAATTCATTAAGCATTAACCCATGAATCATACAAGTCCAAGAAACAACATTCTTTTCATTCGTCATCTCATCAAAAAGCTCCATTGCTTTATCCACCTCCCCATTCCTCAACAACCCACTAATCAAAGTATTCCAAGAACCCACATTCCTCTCAGGCATTTCCTCAAACAACGCCAACGCCTTACTCACCCGTCCAATCTTACAACACCCATTAATCACAACATTCCACAAAATCACACTCTCAACTTTATTTCTCTCAGAACTTTCATCAAACAGTTGCAATGCAAAATCAACCAACTCAGCTTTAACATACATTTCAACCAAACAAACCCTCACAAACGTATCATACTCCAAACCCATCTTCAAAATCCCGCAATGAACAACCCCACCAACTCGCTTATCACCTAATGCCGTCACTGATTTCAACACAAACGGATACGTAAGCTTATCAGGTCTAACACCCATTTTAACCATTTTCCTAAAATACAAAATGGACTTCTCAAATAAAGAGTTCTCCTTTAACCCTCTAATCAAAACATTGAACAAGAACACATTTTTATCAAGAAAACAACTAAAAATTGACAAACCATAGTTAATGGATTTGTGTAAAGAAGCTGAAGATATCAACTGAGTAACAATTCTACTATTGGATGAAAAGTTTTTTCGAATGATTTGGCCATGGATTTGTTGAAGCTGAAGAATGTTTCTGGAACTATGGATTAGAGATATGAAATGGGATTCATTGAAATTCTCATAATGGGGTGTAGGATTGATGATTTTGAGAGATTCTTTTGGAAATTTGAGCTTGTCAATCACTTTCATTTTGAACAAATCAAGATTGTTTAGGTTTATAGCAAAGAAAAAGATGAAAAGATTCACTACTAATGAAAGAAACAAACACATAAAATAGTTATTACGGTTAAGTTTCTCCGTCTCAAAATAGTTGTCATGTTGTCGAGAGTTTAAAGTTAAATTTGATGATATTAACTCAATATTTTTGAATCAAAATTCAGATATTTAATTAAAAAGATAAATATGAAAAGTATTATAAAGTATAATTTTTCTCATAGCAATATGACGAAGATATATATCTTAAAATATTAATCGATATTCATATGGCTTGAACGTCAAAAAGAAAATCGTGACAAGTATTTTGAAATGAAGTAAGCACACATGTATGTTTCTATGCATGTATGCTTGATTCGGGCGAAATCTAGTATGAAAAGATAAAATTAAAAGATACTAAGTAATTAAAAACTCTAACATCGAAAGATAAAATTAGAAAATACTAGGTGATTGAGCGATTACTTAATATCATACTATTGCTAGTTTTTTCTTCTAATAAGAAAAAAACATGAGAAGCTAAACGAAAGTTGGCCTTGTAAAGATATATTGGTTAGAAATATGTGTTGAATAAGCATGACTCGTAAAGATATATTGAGTAAAAATATATGATCAATAAGCACGACTCGTAAAGAACTGTTGATTAGAAACACTACGTGCTCAATAGGCATGCATGACTAGTAAAATCTATAAACTAGAAACATGTGTTTAATAAGTACGACTCATAAATCTCATAACATATTTAAGACTTTTCAATACATGTATCAACGATCAAATTACATCACATTAAAAGAGTAAAACAAGATTATATGTTTGATAACAAAATGTCAAAACACAAAATAATTGTTTTCCACAAAAGCATATGTTTTTTAACTCCTTGATTTGCTAAACAACAACACCACATGTAACTTCTATATTATGCATTTCCAATGGCATTGTTGAGCACATTTGCAGCTGCATAAAGCACATCAGAGTCCACATTTTCTCTCTGCATGTACAAGTGTTCACCCCCTATAGTTCTTTCGAATCCACAGACCTCAAGGAACTCGATACCTCCTCGTAGGTGGCCAACCCTCGCCTGTTATAAAAATGTCAAAACAGAATTAACGAGCACGTTTTGAAATGTATATCAAACTCTTATCTATAGAAAATGTTCGAGTTGAAGCATTGGATGGTAAAAAGTTGCCCTACACATGTGTGAAAACATCTTGAACCAAGTAAACCCCAATTATATACGAATTTGAGTACTAACGAGGTATAAAATGGATAATCTTTCCTCGCGACTGAATTTTAAAGGTTAGAAAGAAACACAACATAGAATTGAATAAACAACAAAAACAAGGGACAATCGTTTTGTAATTCATATTCTCACCTGGAATGCAGTATTGCTGATTCTAATTTTGCGGTATTTCTCCTCATCAGGATTCGTAGCAATATTCCTAACAAACATACGCAGTGAGTTGAAAGCTTGCATGACTTTGGCCGCGTCATCCTAGTGAAAATTGACAAAGACTCAGTTTAAAACAAAAAAGAATGAAAGGACAATTCTTCTTAATTCTGGAACTAAAACGACTCGAATATTACCATGGAATTCTGCTGGATAGTCCGCAGGCACTCAGCCATCTGCTCGACCTTTGCAGCTAGAGTCAATGAACTCTACAAAATTAATCAAAAAACAACGTGAGTACGGACAAGCATGTACAAATTGGAGCAAAACCATATCGACAGATTTCAACAGGAATTACCTGTCCTTCCTGTAAAACAGGTCTCGAAGGCAAACCAAGCTGCTGCTGCTGCTGCCTTCTTGCTCCCTCTGAAGTATCAGCCTGTGAAGTAAAATGTTTTTGTTATTACTTCAGAGAAGACAAACCAAGAATTATACTTTATCAGATGAAACTCGATTGCTTTGGATGAGGTGCAACGTGATCGTTAACACATTGGCCAAGTTGATCATAAAAAGCATGAATGTTCATCAATACATTGATCCGAATCAAGAAAAAATCAGATAACGTGAGCCATATTAGACCTTACATCGTTGTAGATGTACCAAATCTACACATTTTCCAGAACCAGATACTATAATATACTAACTTGAGGTAGTTGCAAGATATCACACACTTCAAAATCTTAGCAAAATCAAATTCTTTAGGACACGTTAGGATTTCTTACCTCGTCCAAACGATCAATAGCTACTCTCAGCATCTGACGAATGTTAGCTCTGTTTCTTCTTGCTGCCTCTTCCGTCACCTCTGCTGTCCTATCATAAAATTCAGTATGCCCAGACTTTCTTGAATGTATAACGCTCTCCTTCAAATAATCAAAATCCAAAAGTTCCAATAAGCCGCATGAAAACGCTATACCAACAATTGAACATAATGACAATTTAAATATTGGAACTCCTATCAAAACTAAGGATTGAATATTAGAATACACGGATTATACTGCACCATTAATGGTGGATTATTTAGTGGATTTGTATTTTTACTATCAAAGGATCACGACAAAATATTATAGATAACCTGACAAATTATCCTAAACAGCAATACTAATTGCATATAAAACCATAATCGAAGTATAAAAGAAATCATTTGTAACAATCGAACTTGACAAGCAACTACAAGAGTAATACTATGACGTATAATACAGATAATAGTATAGGAGAATAAGCGAGAAATCGCTCAACTATCTAACTAACCTCCTACCCTAATTTGTGTCCTCGAACAAATTACTAATGTAGAAGTCGATACCAAAAATAATCTAGTAAACTACATCGCCTAAGCAATATCAACAGCTCAATAGCTTAGCTCCCATCGAATTACAATCTAATAGAGTTCAATTACGATTATAATCCCAAATTTGACGTATCAAGGCTAGTAGTTCCAGCAATAACAACACTACATCAACACAAAATCGCAATGAAATCTGTACAAAATACACCCTACGTTTCTTTTTTGTGTTAAATAATCGTGAAGCCCAAGCCAGTTTGTATACAACTAGATATCACTTCCCAACATCTATAGTTACACAAACCACAAGTAATTCCACAAAATACCTATCACCTCCTACAGACACCAACATGTACAAGCACCTAGACTAATTCTATGGGATACCTGTTACCTCCCACCAACAACAGTTATGCACACTGTACACCATGACTAACCTAATTCCACAGGATACCTATCACCTCCCACCACCAGCACACCACGACTACCTCGACAAGATACCTGTCACCTCCCATCATCATCACAACATAACTAATTCCACGAGATACCTAATTCCACAAGATACCTATCACCTCCACCACCCAGCACACCACTACTAACTCCACGAGATACCTAATTCCACATGCTACCTATCACATCCCACCACCAGTACACCACAACTACTTCCACAAGATTTTTTTTTTTTGTTTTCCACCCAATGTCCAAAGCCCACTAAATTCGGGTCGCGCTCCCAACAAAATTCTCTCCATACCTAGGACCAACACAACACAACTAATTCCACAAGATATCTTTTTTTTTTCCACCCAATTCCGGAGCCCTAAATTCGGATCGCGCTCACCAGAGCCCATTCTGGAGTGTCACTCCCAACATGATTTTCTCCACACCCAGGACCAACACAGCACAACTAATTCTACAATATACCTTTATTTTTTCCACCCTAAATCCGGATCGCACTCACCAGAGCCTATTCCTGGGTGCTGCTCCCAACAAGATTTTCTCCATACCTATGGCTCGAATCACCTCTCACCACAACCAACATGTATACAAACCTAAACTACCATTCCACAGAACACCTATCACCTCAAGCAACCAACATGTATACAAACCTAAACTATTATTCCACGAGATACCTATCACCTCCCACAACTAACCCAACATATACATGCACCACAGCTAATTTCACAAAAATCAACTCATAATAAAAAAATAATTTATAACTTACTGTTTTACAAACGCATTGTTTGCCGCAAACTTTGCAAACAAGGTACACAAATTCTTCATTAGACTCACGAAAATTAGTATGCCAATTCTCTTTGGCATGCTCTTCAGCTTTTTCTGCCGATTTAAGCAGAGTTCCGCAATGGCCGCACTGCAATAATAACTTTTCCACCATATTGTTGTTCACTTTTATTTTTTCCTTCGATTTATGTATTTATAATTGAATTTTTTATTATTATTATTATTATTTATAATTGGAGTTGAATTAGGATTAAAGCTAAATTTGGTTTCGAAATCAATTAAAAGAAATTTAGTCAAATTTAGAGAAGTTTTTATAGCATATTGTTGACTAATTTAGCTTGACAAGTATTTTATTTTGATTAATTTATTGATTTATTTAACTATGAATAATTACTTCACTCAATATAAATTAAGCTTCAAATATGTTTTAAAAAAAAATTATCTTGTAGAAAGTTATAATTCATTATTTATTAAAAAGTAAGATGTTTTTAGTGGCTTATTATTTTTATATATAAATTTAATTTGAAATTAACGATTTTAAAATAAGTTAGATATCTAAATAAACATATATAATTACATGTTGTGATATTTTTATCCTAATTTCAAAGTTTTTCAGACATTTGTATATGGTCGAGCATAATTTATTTTATAATATTTTTGCTTAAACTGATGTTTTAGGACATTTTTTAAAAGTGGTACAATATTATCTATTTTGACATATAGAAGAGTTAAGTAATATACTTGAATGAATGTTGAGTTATTTAATTACAGGATTACTGATCAGATTAATTTTGATTAATATAATTTTTTGTTTAGTTTAGCGATGCATCATGTTATGTTCAAGAAAATCGTGATGAAATTCATATAAATACTATTTTTATTTTATTGGATTGAAAATGTTGGTGCATAGATCAATATATGTGCATCTTGATTAAATTGATAGGATATTTACCCCTTCCACCAGCAGCATATACCAGTTAACTTTATTTATCAAAATTAGGACAAATAAGAAAAGATTAACAATAAATATACCTTTTATTTTAATTTTTTGGATTGAAAATGTTGGTGTATAGATCAATTTATGTACATCTTGATTAAATTGATAGTATATCTACCCCTTCC